CACACACACACACACACACACACACACACACACACACACACACGTCTGATATTTTATTAAATATCATCCTGGAGCTTGTTGCACAAATGTAGGATAAGTAAGATAAGGGATTAAGTCAGGATTTTGATGTAAACCTGAATTAATTAAGCCTTGAATCGGTTGTATGGGAGAGGAAGCACTTCTGTTTCCATGGTAACAAGTGATCTGAAACTAACCTGATCAGGTTTAAAGTGAGGATTATTTAATCTGAGTGTTTCTGAGCAGTAGTCATTTTACTGCAGAAAACTGTTCCTGTAACCAAGTTTTACAGTCTGATATCAGATAAAAAGTATCTTTGATCTTGTTTTAGACCCATATACTAAACAAAGATCAGAATATGTTGGATTATTAATCTTGTTAATCCGAAAAGTTTTTTTTTTATTTCAACAAGTCTGAACAAGTGCAACTGTCAAACTGCAGATTATTAATTATTATTCATTTGAAGAATCAGTATAATCTATTTAATTTATTTTAGAAGATATTGTTTGTAGTGTCTGATCAGAAATCAGTTCATTTATTTATTAAATTATTATATTAATCAGATTAACTTTTTTATCTGGAATTAAAGTTTCAGATGACCTTATCTAAACTTTTCTTTTCTACATTTCCTGATCATCTGACTGTGAAACTGTTAACTTTACTGAAGTTCACTGTGTTCATTTAAACCAGAAAAACACAGAGAAATAAGTTTATGAAAGTTAATTATGTTTTATATTTAAAACAAAAAGACCAAAGTGATGTATCTGACAGTTTAAACCGTCTCAGAATTCAAGACTTTATTAAACTGTTTTCTTCATGGATCAAATGTTCAGAGAAAGTTAATTTAATGTAATTAATACATTTTGTTCTCTTCTTGCTGTTGAAAATTTTGCACAAATAAATGTTACAAAAATATTAACCTTTTTCAAAAGAAATAAGGTTCTTTAATGCTGACAGTTTTAAAAACTTTTGAATGTTGTGTTAAAGATAAAAACACAAAGTATTTGTATTTGTATATAACAAACCCAGTGAATCATTTGTACTTTTTACTTTGTTTTCTTTTGTTTGTTATATTCAGCAGTTTTACTTAAATAAATGTTACAAACTGAGTTAAACTGAAATTAATAATTGTTTGAAGTTGTTGTAGCTAATTTTATTACTCTGTTGTTTAGATAAACAGGTGGTTATATACAGATTAAATCCAGATTATTTACAGATTAAATCCAGATTATTTACAGATTAAATCCAGATTATTTACAGATTAATTACAGATTAAATCCAGATTATTTACAGATTATTTACAGATTAAATCCAGATTATTTACAGATTATTTACAGATTAAATCCAGATTATTTACAGA